AATTGTCTTAGTCTCAGTTCCTACCATAATGAGGGAGCCTCCCAAATGACTCTTTTCTAATCTACAGCATCGCCCTGGGAGAGTTGGCCAGGGCAGGGCTGGTATGAGGAGTGACCAGTGCCTTCCAAAGTCTATTTTCCTCATATATCAGTAGAGTTGTTGAATCCTCTAGTTTTGAGCACACCTGGGCAAAGAAAGGGAAGCCACCAAAACTGCACAAGTCATCCACTCATTTATGACAGAGTTGACATGAGTCTATCAACTAGAATTCACATGCAGTGCCTGAGTTAGCACTGACTCCCATATTGGACTGAAATGGATCAAAGTTTGAATCAAGGCCTATAGTGAGATAACATTGCTTTGTTGTACTTTTGAGTAAGAGCTTCTCCTGATCACTATTATATATTTTTCTAAAAAAATCTAAAGTTAAGAAGAGAATATATCGATCCTGACTTTTATTCCAGTATTTGGATGGAATAAGTTTTAGGGTAGACTTTTGTTCAGTTTGGATTTAATGTTTGTGAAAAATAAATTCTTTGTTTACTTGTTTGATTACAATTCTCTTTGTTATCTTTTTAAGACTTAAAACTTCAAGGTGACTAGCATGTTCTGTGAATCTGCCATTCCTAAAAATTTTATAAACACTTGATATTTTCACTGATAATTGATCGCTGCAATAAATATATATTGTGAAAATGCATCCACAATAAATGGAATTCCTCCAAATGTCTTTGCCTCACTTATTTTTATGTACTATATTGATTACAAGAGTTCTATCTGATGTAATAAAGATGATGGCATAGCAAAATGCGTATTTCAGATTGAGTCTTGGTTTCATTCTTTAAAGAAGAAAGCTGTTTTATAGTTTTAAGTACTTCTTATTACAGGCAACTTTCCAACAAAATACTAAAAATTGCTCTGGTATGGACAACTGACCAAACCTATATGGAAGATTGAAAAGAAGGATTAAAAAACACTCTTCTTCCAAAAAACCATTATCAGGAGAGGGTATAGCTCAGTGGTAGAGTACGTGCTTACAGTGCACAAGGTTCTGGGTTCAATCTGGGTTCTTGGTTTAGTACCTCCACTGAAAATAATAATAATAATATATTAATAATAATTTTAAAGTACATAAATAAACCTAAGTACTTCCCCCCAAAATTTAAATTTTTAAAAAAATTTTTAAAAATATGAAAAAATTTGCTTCAAAAAATTAGGAATTATCTGATCTTCCTTTATTCTCCTTCTCATTCTCAGTGTTATCACGTGTCACTCCTCTTTTTCCTAAGGTGGCAGTACTGTTTTCCCAAAGGTGGTGTGTCTTAGAGTTAGCACTTTTGGTTAGCACTTGCATGATATAACTTTACTTTCAACCTGTGTGTGTGTGTATTTGTATATATGATATAATTCCTCCACCCCTTTCCTTTCAACCTTTGCATATCCTTTATTTTCAGATGCACATCCATTTAGACTGGTGTCCA